CTACATGGCCCACTCAGACATGGCCGCTCACTTCTGGAAGGCTACATGGCCCACTCAGACATGGCTGCTCACTTCTGGAAGGCTACATGGCCCACTCAGACATGGCCTCTCACTCTTGGAAGGCTACATGGCCCACGCAGACATGGCCACTCACCTCTGGCACCTCGCGCTGCCGTCTGCAAGATGGAGTCTGTAGTAATACCATCACAGGAGTGCCTGTCCCAGCTCTCCTCCATAAGCGGTTAGCTAGAAGCAAGTCACAACGTCTAGCTGCACTCAGGGGGTGGGGATCACTGAAAAGTGTGACTCTCTGGACACCTTAGGGTGTGTTCCCCACTGGGGTTCACCATGGTAGTTGGTGGGTTTTTAACCAGCAGCCAACTTGGTGGGAATGGCTATGTGGCCTAATGAACTCAGCAAGAGGAAACCCACCTTCTGTTTGCAGTCTTTTCAATGGACTTGCCTTGATTGTGAGAGGGAACTCCTGTTCTTACACATGTCTGTGACGTGGCTCTGAGAAGAGGACCCTTTTTAATGGTAAAATGTGTAGTAGAAAGCCAGCAGCAACATAGTGGGATCTTATAAAAATCAGATTCTTGTCACTTTATTTTGCCCTCGATGGCTAATCTGTACACTGAATTACACGATGTGGGCTCTAAGAAGCCTTTTAGCTATTGCTTCTCTCTCCTGTGTACTGCCTTCCAGGTAAATCAGGTTTGAAACCATGTCCTGCAGGGTCAGCTCTCATGTGGGGTTTTAATGTCCTTTCGCTTTTTCATATCAGCTGTTCCTGGGGTGCAAAATCTCAGAGTTTGCAAATGAGTTCAGTTGCCTTGGTCTTTGCCCTTCCCTGTGCTCTCACATCCAGGCCCCGTCACTTTTTTCCTGTATTTGTCTGACCCTGGGGACACTAGAGTACTCAATTCCTGGTAACTCAGACTTTTAGAACAAGTCCAAGAAAGGCGAGCACGGGGACTGCTAGTCCTACTGGTCAGTGACCCTCCTCTGGAGCTGAGGAGACTAATTCATGAAAGCTAGCCTCTGGGTACATGCACTCAGCAGGAACCAGAGGGACACGGTAGATAGTGACAGAACAGTCGATTGGGACATTCTTGAAAAACAAAACTAAGTTTACTGTTTTTATTCTTTCATCAGATTTAGCTAATAAGCTGCGTCTACGTGCTAATTTCCAGAGTAAACAGATCACCTTTCATGTTAATTTTTAGGTTAATTTTTCTAACAGAAGTCCTGATAGTACAGTGCATTTCTCTTTAACTTCAACAGCACTGTCGTAAAGAGCGTCATTTCTTTCTGCAGAAGCGTTCATGGCATTTAGCAGTTTTTCCCAGGGCCTTTTTGGAGCTTTCAGTATTCTTCCACATGTCTCACACCTGCTGTTTCACTTGTTGAGTTTCTTTTCTTCTGTGAACTGGTCCAACTTTGCCCAATACACAGTTGGTAAAATGAGAACAATTTTTTCCTATAATGGCTTAGTCCACCTCAGGGAATTCTGTATCCTTAGTCAGAATCATAGTTTTACTTTACAATTAATTTACCTTCATTGGCAGTTTTTTATGACATTCTGACCTAAAGCATTTCAAATTATTGATAGAGATGGACTCTAGTATTAAATGGAAAGAGATATTTGAGTTGGGAACCAATGTTAGAACTAGTTTGTGAGTTTTCCTAACTCTGACACTTTGCTTTCCTATGTAACATTCAACGTTGGAGCTCAGATCAAGACGATGCTGATAATGAAGGCTGCCCCATAGAGGGAACAGGAAGGGGAGGATCCTCAGGAGATCAGTTAGAGAAAGAGCTATTCTGCAGATTTTTTTGTTAGCTGTATTTGACATAGGACCAGAGAAGCCTGGTACCTGTAGGTACCGTCGGCTCTGCAGTGGAACCAGAACCTAGGAGTTTATTGTTCTGGTTCTAACGGTGTGCACTAACTAATCCTGACTTTGGACAAGTCACCTGTAGTTGCTGGCTTGGGAAACCAGGCAATACTGGTCTTTGTAGATTACCAATTGCAGAGTGTAAACAGAAGCCTTTCGTCCCACCCAGACTCCCTGGAAACCCCGGCATGGTAGTACCATCTCCAGTGCTGAGCACCAGCGTTACTGAGCCAAGAAAGTGCCAACAAGAGCAGCAGCATCTCCGCTTTGCTCGCCTGGCAGAGCGCCTTAGGATGCCAGCCAGACGCTTAGCTCCCTTCTGGATACTTGCCATCCAACCCAGGGGAAGAATGGCACCTTCCTAACTGGCCTTCCCACTCCACTCTCGTGCTTTCACAGAGCGACCCCTTGCTGGCCGTGGCCAGGCTTGGGTCACCTGGCTGGGATCTGGAAGGGGCTGTGGTTGTATCATGTGACTTGCCTTGCAGATGCTGGATCCTCTGAGCAGTGCGGAAAACTCCTTGTCGGGAAGCTGCCAGTCCTTGGACAGGTCGGCAGACAGGTATGGGACTGTGCATAGGTTGGGGGCTAGTCCATTGGCATTTCTGGAAATGATGGGCTGAGGGAGTAGGGTCAGCCAGTGTGCCCCTGCTCTAGACCCTAGTCCACAGCCCCTGCCGGGGTTAACATCGTGCTTCTAGGAGAGACTGCCTCTGGGCTTCCAAGCTGTCACCTTGACTTCTCAATCATCTGTGGTTATGTAAATGTAATAATAGCTCGTTTATTCAGTGCTTTACATGGTCTGGTGTTTCACGTTACATATTCACTCTTCCATTCTTGGACTCACTGCAGTAATGTGGGCTGCAGAGCACTGGACCTTTTGTGTTTTGGGTAGCAAATGAAATTACTTTACTTTTATTTTTCTCTCGCTCTTCATCTTTTTCTGGTGGAATAGAAACTAGGAGACAAAGACCAGAAACAAAATGTCCAGACTGCCTAGCTTACCACCCAGCCTACTTGGTGTGTAAACCTCTTTCTCTGCTTTGCACTCATGTGGCTCTGCGGATTGGATTTATTTATCACCAGGGGTATATGTGGAGTTGGATTAGGCTCCTGATCCAGCCAGCTCTCACCTAAACTTGTTAAGACCAAAAAACCATTTGATCATATCTGACTGGGATCTGGGCTGTGGTTGTGGACTGATTGTCCACATGGGTACTGAACTTGTGACCTTGGCCGAATTTGTGCTGTCTTTCCTAGCAGATGTGTGATTGATGAGTGAGTTCTGTCTCCTCTCTGGATACCACAGAATGTAGTCAGAGCTACTTGTTGGTAGCTTGTAGGCTTGCTCTCGACCCAGAGGAGCAAGAGGACACAGGTCAAAGTGCCACAAACTGAGGGCTCTGCCATGACAGGCCTGGCTGTGGACTACCTCCTAAACTTTGCAGCCTGGGGCCTGGCCCTCCCTCCATTGGGGTGAGGGTCCTTTGCAGAAGGTTGAGTTGTTGGGAAGTAGGGGGCAGTGGGCTTCCTGGCCTGTGGCTCTTAGAAGGTATGTGAAGGAAAGGGCCCTTCAGGTAGTTGCTAGGAAGGAGAGATACATTTACCCACTTCTCTGTTCTTGAGTTTCTCTTCTTCCCTATAGAATGCTCTGAACCCTTTTCTTCTCCTTGGGGGTGAAACCCAGCAATCTGGGCTGACTTCTTTGGGACCTGGCCTGATGAGCTCAGGGTACTCGTCTTCTCTTCAGGGATCAGGAACCAGCTGACTGAAATCTAGTCCTGGCCCCACCAAAGAGGACTCAGGAGCTTAGGGTGTGTCCCAAAACCTCTGCTTCTCTGATGGGGTGCAAGTAATTAGTCTAAATGGAAGATACTTAATTTAGTAGCAAAGGCTCAGGCTTTGGAGTCACACACCTGGGTTTCAAGTCAGGGGTCCCTCTGGGCAGCCTGCCTTCTGCCTGGTGGACTTCTTTGGAAGGACACCGAAGTGTATTTTGTGATTGGTTTTGTTTTCTACAGCCCATCATTCCGGAAATCACGGATGTCCCGAGCCCAGAGTTTTCCAGACAACAGGCAGGAGTATTCAGGTGAGTTCCTCGTCTGGGCTGAGTAGTGCAAGGTGTCTGCCTGTTGCAGCAGCTGCTCTGCTTTGGACGCTCTGAGCTGTGGTAGGCCACTGCTGAGGGCTTAATGGTGCTGACCCACACTGAACCGGTGACTCCCCTATGCTACTCAGATCGGGAAACTCAGCTCTATGACAAAGGAATCAAAGGTGGAACCTACCCCAGGCGCTACCACGTGTCTGTGCACCACAAGGACTACAATGACGGTGAGTCCGCCTCCACACTGCCCTCTACTGGCTGCCTCTGGGAAGGGCGGGGCTGGGCCCAGGCACTCCAGACAGGGCTGTGCTTTCTTTATTCTGGAGGAATTGTGCTGTTGATGTGAGGCTCTCAAGACAGAGAAGACAGAGAGGCTGCGGTGCTAACTCTGGGAGCTGTCCTTAGAGTCCAGGGCATGCTGCAGGGCCGCCAGCTCTCAAGTGCTCTCTTCTACCCTCAGCAGCAGGTGCGGTAGAGCGCCTGCCTGCCGAGGCTCTGAAAGCAGGTGGTCCAGGGTGACCGATTGAGGCCTGGAGGTGACAGGGCTTCCTGAACCCCTGCTTTTTGCCCTCTCTCGGACTTAGGGCAGCATGCGTCTGCGGGGAGGACAGAGGATAGGCTGGCATTGGTATGGTCTGTTGCCTCTAGTGAGGACCTGTCCTGCACATCCCACCTCACATGCAGCAGCCTGACTTGCTCTGCTCTGGCCTGTGCATCGTTTTAGGCAGGAGAACATTTCCAAGAATACGCCGCCATCAAGGCAACTTGTTCACCCTGGTGCCCTCCAGCCGCTCTCTGAGCACAAATGGCGAGAACATGGGTCTGGCCGTGCAGTACCTGGACCCCCGCGGACGCCTGCGGAGTGCAGACAGCGAGAACGCCCTTTCTGTGCAGGAGAGGAACGTGCCAACCAAGTGTGAGGAGCCACCTTGATTGGGGGTGGGGGAGTGTGCTGGGCTGCTAGGCTCAGCAAAAGCTGCTCTGGCCCATCCGTACCACCCTGGAGAGCCTTGAAGTGGACAAGAAGTAGTGACTCTGGTGTTGTGTGATGACCACTTTCCTCTCTGCCAGAGCCGCATCATCTTTAATCCCATGTTAAGATCTTTATGGGTTCTGGAAGTGAAGGCATTTGATGAGCACAGAACATTTGACTGTGACCTTAGATGAATAGGGTACCACACCTGGTCCAGGTTGGGGTGGAGGTGCTGTCCTGAGAGACAGTGGTGTGGAGCAGGGTAGAGCCCTCTGGGAATGAGGCAGGATTCTGAGAAAGAAGGGACAGGAAGTAACACTCTTCCTTCTGCTTTCATGTAGCTCCTAGTGCCCCCGCCAACTGGCGCCGGGGGAAACTTCTGGGCCAGGGTGCCTTTGGCCGGGTTTATCTGTGCTATGACGTCGACACGGGGCGTGAACTTGCTTCCAAGCAGGTCCAGTTTGACCCAGACAGTCCTGAGACAAGCAAGGTACCACTCTCCCCATGACAGACCCCTTTTCAGCGAAAACGCCTCCTTCACCAAATAGAGCAGTTGCTTGAGACACTCAAGGTTGCTTCCTCACTCGTGCAACTTCCCTGGGCCTGGGTGGGGGGATCGGATGTACAGGACTGTGAGTTGATGCCCCAAGGAGCCCAAACAGTGGTGACCAGTAACAAGAAGAGTTCTGCTGGGACATCGCTCAGGGCCCAGGAAGGAACCCCAGAGCTTTAGTCACAGGGCAGGGCACTAAAGGAGGAACCACCCAGCCTCTTTGAGTGTGGACACCTCCTCTTGCCCTACCCAGGAGGTGAGCGCTCTGGAGTGTGAGATCCAGCTGTTGAAGAACTTGCAGCATGAGCGCATCGTGCAGTACTACGGCTGCCTGCGGGACCGCGCTGAGAAGACACTGACCATCTTCATGGAGTACATGCCTGGGGTGGGTTCCCTGTGCCTGCAGGTGACACATGTGGAGAGGGCCCAGCCTGGGGAGGACTGTGAACAAGGGAGCATTGCAGTCACAGCTGGGATGTAGCCAGAGTAATTGCTGCTTTGCCCTGGAGCACAGGGGCCATGGGTTACCTGAGAAGCCCCTAGTAAATGTGCCTGCCTGCCCCCATCCCCACCTGTAACCAATAGGGCTCAGTGAAAGACCAGCTGAAGGCCTACGGTGCCCTGACGGAGAGCGTGACCCGCAAGTACACCCGGCAGATCCTGGAGGGTGTGTCGTACCTGCACAGCAATATGATTGTTCACCGGGACATCAAGGGTGAGCAGGCTCCCGCTCCACTTCCAAGACCAATCACTTAACAATTCTGAGCTTCCTGCCCTGGGGAACTAGTGTGAGGCTCGGTTGAGCAATTAAAGAGAAAATACTGTAAAATGGTGGTACTCATTTCATAGTGTAAGACTGCAGCTTCCCTTTAACAGACAGGGTGCCATGTGCACTAGCCTCCACCCTTCCCAGCCGCCCTCAGGGACCCACGGGAGGAAGAGGGTGGTTAAAAAAAAAAACAACTGAAGAGTGTCTGAGATTGCAGCAGCAGCCTTTTCACACTCTAGGAGCCAACATCCTTCGAGACTCTGCTGGGAACGTGAAGCTGGGGGACTTTGGGGCCAGTAAGCGCCTGCAGACCATCTGTATGTCGGGGACTGGCATGCGCTCAGTAACGGGCACACCGTACTGGATGAGCCCTGAGGTGATCAGCGGTGAGGGCTATGGAAGGAAGGCAGACGTATGGTGAGCACTGGCGATGCAGGCGGGCCCCTTCCCGTCTGGGCTGCAGTTGGTCTGATACTTAGATGTGAGCCTTGGGGGCGCCTCAGTGTGGTGGGAGGGAGCAAGAACGTGCCTCCTGCAAGTGAGGCCAGGTCTCAGGCTTCCACCCCCAGTCTGTGTCGTGGGCTGGGTGTGGGGTGAGAGGGGGTTCAAAAGCAGCAGCACATCAGATAAGTGGGTTGTGTCTTTATCCCAAAGAGCAAACTTGGTTATTGCTGGACAATTTGACTATGCAAAACATCCTGATGTTTGCTAACTCCCTGAAAGAAGTAGCATCCACTCATGTGACTGGGATTGACCTCTAAACACATCCTGCCTCTGTCCCCTTCCTGAGTGGGGCGGCTGGTATGTGCTGTACTTCACATCCATTTTCTGAAAGGCCCCAAGGATGTCTCCAGAGAGCATCGCGTTAATTGCTGTAGCAGTGAGTAATGGTTCCCAAGGGTGTGCACTCATCCCTGGGACCTGGGACTGCTGCAGGCCTTATGGGGCAGAAGGGACTTGGCAGCTGTGATTAAATTAAGTACCTTGAGCTGGGGAGGCTATCCTGGGTCATCCAGGTGGGTGCACTGTAATCACAAAGAGCTTCCTTAAAGGTAAGCAGACCACCAAGCACCTGGCAGTTCAGGTGACACTTCTCTTTCCAGGAGCCTGGGCTGTACTGTGGTGGAGATGCTGACAGAGAAGCCACCTTGGGCCGAGTATGAAGCCATGGCCGCCATCTTCAAGATTGCCACCCAGCCTACCAACCCTCAGCTGCCCTCCCACATCTCTGAACACGGGCGGGACTTCCTGCGGCGCATTTTTGTGGAGGCCCGCCAGAGACCTTCGGCTGAGGAGCTGCTCACGCACCACTTTGCACAGCTTGTGTACTGAGCTCTAGGCCACGCTGCTGCCGGCCGCCTGCTGCGTAGGCATGGGGCTGCTGGGGGCTCAGCAAAGTTGCTGCTTCTCCTGGGCCAGGCTGTGGACCATAGAGCCACAGTCCAGCCAGCGTTTGCTGGGTCTCCTCCTGCCCCAGGGCTTACAGAGCCACGATGAGGGGCCACAGCCTCAAGGACTGGGAGCCCCCAGCCTGTCCGACCAGAGCTCCAGCACTCGGAGCTCAGCGTGAAAGGGAAGGGACCAGGAACCGTGTGCCATGGCCTAGCTTCTGAGGGAGCTGCGTCCTGACTCTGCTGTCAGCACCGAGGCCCTGAGGTCTGGGCCCCAGGGCTTGCACAGGGTGTGAACAGTGTTAGTTCATTCCGAATGCTATTTTGTTTCTGGAGGCCACCACAGGCCCTGAGATCCAGGCCAGCATTCCCCCAAGCAGTGCAAGGCTGAGGCCCGGGCTGCTTACCTCTCAGCTCCTAGGCCGACTTTACCAAAGATGAATGAAGCCAACGTTATGCTGCCTTATTCAGGCCAGGAGGCACCTAGCCTGCCTTCCCCCGTGACTCTGTCCCCCTCCCGAGATGGGGACGAGGGAGCCAGTGTTGTCTGCAATGGTCTGTTTTATACATTGGAGTCACTCTTATGCTGTACCCCATTTCTAAACTGGAGACCCTCCACTCTGAGCACCCCACTGCGGGCTTGGGACTTGGCTGGATGGGATTGGGGGCTTGTGCTCCTGACCTAGCTTATGTCCCGTTCTAGAGAGAAAACTTAGATGGACAGTTCGGACAGGCCTCTGTCCATCAGACGGCCAGGGGGTCCTACCTGGTGGGCTATGAGTCATAACCCTGCTGGACTGAAGGACAAGTCCATGTCTTGCTGCCACTGTCTGTAGACCGCCCAGCCTACACTTAGTCAGCCTGGCCCACCCCCAGGAGAATTGGCCACCTCCCCTTCTTGCTCCTCCCTTGGGAGATGGATGGCAGTGGGGTTGGGAAACAGTATCTCCAAGCAGCTTAGAGTTGTGGCCATATTTACCTCAGCCTGGGCGCTGGGCCTTTCTTCCGGCCCCTCCCCTCCAAAATGTGCCTATTGCTACAGCTCCTCCCTCTGGACACACAGCTTCCTTGGGAGTTGTCATTAAAGAAAAATAAGCCAGTGCCCAGGGAAGGGTGTCTCCAGGGAGCTGGGGATTAGCACCAGGCAGCTCATTGCCAGCCATGCCCACTTCCCCACGGGCACCCGAACAAGCCAAAGCCTTCATTGTATGTTGACGATGCACTTTTATGAATGTAGTTTCTATCGCTGTTTTTAGCCTTTTCACATCATGTAATGTGAGGCCTTGTCCTTGTTAATTTATATCTCAGATCCTATCTGATGGTTTTTATATATATCAATTCTAGACTGTTACAGGTGACGGACGCCTCAAGAGAGAAGAGAAAATGAAAGCAGCTGGTTTTACAGAAATGTGTGTTGCAAGGTGCCACTTGGGCCCAGGCCCCTCCATTTTCATTTTCTCCGGCCGCTGCCGACCCCCCTACCCCCACCCCATTGCCCTGGCCCAGCGTGGAGAGCAGCCCCTCCTCCTGATCACAGCTGTGCAGCACTCTTGGCCTGCACCCCACCCCCAGGACCTGCTCCCCAAGAGGAGATAGTGTGGGGCCAGCGCTGTGAGGAATCCAGACGACTTTCTGTCCTGGTTCAGGCTCCCCCAACAGGGGACATGTTCTAAAAATGAATCTGAAAACAAGCCAACAAACCCTGTACTCCAAACACAGAACCACCGTGATTTTGTGTGTGTGCCAAAAACTGTGGACATGCCGGCTCAGCACCCTCAGGACCAAGCTGTTGCTCATTTTAACTTATTGTTTTTTATTAAATAATCCAGATAAAAAATTCTGGGGCTCCAGGCTGGCTATGGGAAGGGTCAGGCGATTTTCTCATCACTCCCTGGGTGTGTCTGCCTTGGCCACCCCAGCACAAAGAGGCCAGGGCTGGGAGTAGCCCTCCCTCACTCCCCCCACCCCACCCACCCCAAGCTCTGGGTCTGTCCAAATTGTGGATCGAGCAGAAAAACCTGCAGCCATAGTTATCTGACTGTATTTTGACCGAGGGCTTGCAGTGCAAAGCCAGGCCAGTGTCACACATTACTTACTTTAAATAAAAGGGACCGTTTCTACCAAGGAGTGCTGTGGCAGTGCTTTGGGTGGGGGTGGCATCGGGGGAGGACCTGCCTACTGATGCAGGCAGCAAGCTTGGGCTTCAGGCACTTGAGTGGAAGAGTCCTGAGGTGACTTAGCTGGGTATCATCATGCCCCCAGAAGCTCCACTAATGGTAGTTGCATCAGGACCAATTTTGCACCTCCCTTGGGGAGCCTTACCAGTGCCTGGCTCCCAGGACCTTCCCGGTGTTCTGCAAGTCTCCTCACACCCGTGTTGCCATTTTTCCTTAAGAGTTAGCTCTGCTGCTTCAGGGGATAGTGCTTACCATAGCCAACTCCAGCCCATGGGTGTGAGGTCACTCAGCTGTAATGGACAGTGGGCATCAATCCCTCAGGAGTCTGCCCTCCTGCTCCACCATCTCTTCCATGGGCAGTCTGGGGAGACGAAACAACCCAGAGGACTTCCTGTATTCTGGGAGGGGATCAGTCCTGCCAAGCTTGTCCCGTTGTAACTTGTAACTTGTCTCACAGGGCTCTTTGGAGGGGATAGCAGCTTTTCCTTGGACTTTAAGGACATGGCTGTGACTAGATCTCTCCCCAAAGCTTGAGACAGCAGCAAGAAGGTAAAAGGGCACAGGGACTGGGAGGGACACAGGTAAACTGAAACCTTCAGCAGTTCCCACCATTCCTTGCTGCTTTCTGGGCCCAGCAGCAGCATGTGCAATGAGGCCATGCGCTAACCCCACTGACTTCCTGACCCTCAAGCTTGCTCTCAGGCCCTACTGCTTCTCTTCCTCGTCAGAATGGGATGGAGCTACGAGCTGAGGGTCACGTGGGAATGGTTATAAAACCATTCTGTATTTGACAGCAGGGAGACCTGGCTGGCAAGAGGAGTATGCCTTTTTCTCAAGCTGGCTAGTATTTCTGTCACCCACTGAAGGCCCCCAAGCCCCATCAAGGCCAAGAAGACTTTTGAGTCAACCCTATTGCCCACTTCCCCTTTCCACTGGCCACTCAAATCCTTCCTGCTACAAAGTCCCCCGTCAGGTCACATAATACAGAGTCAGGATCTGTTTAAACATGTTTAAAATGGGGTTGATAACAGAACTGGCAGGAACAAAGGGGTGGAGGAGTTTGGCCTCAGCCAGTCCTGTAGCCAGTCTCTGGCTCTCAGCCTGGTGAGCACTTTAGCTCCTGCTTCTTGACTCTCGTGCTGTGAGACAGTCCCCAGCCCCACTAGGGCTTGTCCCACGTTGTGGGGGGAGGGCTGGGCTGGGCCACTTCCCCATCTCCAACCCCACGAAGCTATGGTGGGCATCCTGTGAGGACTCGGCTTCCTGCCTCCCAGTCTCCGTGGCTCAGGACCAGGCGTAGGACAGAGGTAGATGGGGAGACATAGGGGGTGCACAGGGCACCGGGTGGCAGTGAGTGAGCTTGGGACCCTGAGGTGGGCATGCTGCCTCCTTGCTGGAGAAAAGGCACCTAGATAGGGAAGCTGGGCTTGGGGGTCTCCCAGGAGGCCTTGGAGTAGGAGGGATGGGGTAATCTGAAAGAAATGGGAAGCAGGGTGGTGAGCAGACCCCCAACACTGCCTCAACTTCTACTCACTGAGGGAGAATGCAAGAATTCTGGAGCAGAGTCCTGGCCCATCATCCTCCACTGAGTGAGGGCCCCCAGCCTTCTCACCCTGCCCCCACCCAAGCCCAGCTCCAGTCCCCTTCCCACTGCCCCATCCAAGCCCTGCTAGAGGGCTCTAGTGGCAGGTCAGTGGGACCTCAGGCAGTCTTGGTGCCAGGATCCACCTCCTTGTGGGCCCAGAGCTCCTTGTGCTGCTTTCGGCCAAAGCCCTCGTCATAGTTGCCCTTGCTCTTAAACAGCTGCTGGAAGTGAGGTTTGCAGTAGAACTCGCCATGCAGTGCCGCGTAGCTGCCCAAGCTGCAGGAGCAGAACAGCGGGATCAGCGGGGGCGGTGGTCAGCTGGGGCAGGGCTGGAAAGCACATGGGGACAGGCGACACCATGACGCACCTGAGCTTGGTGTGGCAGTGCTTGCAGCAGAAGCAGGAGTTGTGAAAAATGAGCTTGTCTGCCACCAGTCGCTCCATGGGGTACACTGTCTTCTGGCAGGCGGCACAGGTCTCCTTCACCTGGGCCCGGAGGCTGAAGGACTGTGAGGCGCAGACTCAGCCAGGGACCCAACCTGTGACTGATCTGTCCTCCCCAGACACCCAACCCCAGGCCCTACCTTGGAGCGCTGCACAGTGCTGTTTCCACCGCTGCTTTTGGCTTCCTGGGGGGGCAGGGATAATGGGGCTGATTAGCTCAGGGTCTCCCCTGTCCACTGCTGCGTTTGCCAGCCGGATCTCAGGCTTCCAAGAGGAGGCACAGGTGGCCGACAAAAACACTATTTCTCATCCCTTCATCCCCAGGTCGAACACCTGCCAAGGGACCCTCCCGCCCTGCTGTCACCTACATGGGAGGGGGTGGCCTGGGAGGCTCCTGCAGCCTGGAACATGGCTCCTCAGAAGTGATGGAGGCCCTGGGTGGGGACGCGACACCCGCTGGGTTCTGCAAAGGGAAGTCAGTCGGTCGGCCCCAGAAGCCCTTCCTCAGCCTGCAGGGTGGGGGGTGTTTACAGGCTGGGAGCTGGGGGGCTGCGGTTGGGACTTTCCCTAAGTCATTTCCTGTTGCTCTTGGTCTTGCCACTTCCGCCCCTCACCCACCTCTCCCTGCGCCTGCCCGCTCCCCCACACTGCTCCCCAAGGGGCAAGGGTCCCTGAGTGGAACCATGTGTCAGGGGAAGAACAAAGTTATTCGAGAGTGGCTGTGGGACTCCCTGCGTACCACCATGCCCAACAGCAGGCGGGGACCCAGGTGGAGGTGAAGGGGGCCAGGCGGGTTACCGCTACCCCAGCCTGACCCTGGCGCGCAGCTGCTGGGCACCGAAGTTCGGGCCAGCCCCTGGACAGCACCCGCGAGCCGCACCCGCCCACCCTCCAGACCGAGCCGCAGCCACGCACCGCGCTCCCCGGCCCCCGGCCCGCTCGGCCCCCAAAGCTAGGATCCCGTGGGCCCCATCGGACGTTCAGCCCTTCCACAGGAGGCTTGCACTGAAAGCCAGCGCGATCGGCCTGGGGCCCCGGGGGTGAGCTGCGGGTGAAGGAAGGAGCTCGGTGTCCGGCCCTGCGCCCACAGCCCCCGCTCGGCGCCCTCCCCCGCCCGGCCGCGGGTCTCACCGGGCTCTGGCCTGGGCCGCGGGGCGGCGGTCCGTCTCCGGGAGGCGCTGCGGGAGCGAGGAGGGCGCGGATGCAAGCTG